AATTTTTCTATATTTTTCACAAAATATTTCCAACACTTTATAGTTCACATCTCTCGTTTGGAGTAATATAGTTGGATGATTATTTCAAGACGTTTCTACTTTCTAGAAGGAATAGGGACTCTTTTTCTTTCTCTGACGTTTGCAATGAGCTAATCACCACATTTTGTCTAATGTTTTTTTTCTTGAGGGTACACTGTCTTTACGCGTGCTTAGTTCGCTCGATCTGGATGTATCACCGAAGAAACTCTAGGCACCGTTTGTTAGGAATATCAAGTTCAATCAATCGAATTCAGCGACATAATCAAGGACCAACTAAAAGTTGACTTCACAAATTATTATATGAATTGTTTTATTTTAAAAATTATTTCACGTGTAGCATTATTCTTTTAATAATATCTCTCAACCAATCATTATAACACCACCAATAATGATGTTATAAAAAAGATGCAAGTACTTCGTAGTTATGCAGAAGTAGCAAAGGAGAGGCAAAGACGAACCAACATGGCGGAAGTGCAGATTCCTCGAGTCAAACTCGGAACTCAAGGCCTTGAGGTGTTATACTATCCTATTGCTATGCCCACTTCACTTCATTTCTCTTACTCTTATTCCAATTCTTTATTTTGAGAAATCATTTTTCTCTCTTTATAGGTTTCAAAGTTGGGGTTGGGCTGTATGAGCCTGAGTGGAGCATATAATGATCCACTTCCTGAAGAGGAAGGCATATCTGTGATTAAGTATGCATTCAGTAAGGGAATCACTTTCTTTGACACTGCTGATGTTTATGGTGCCAACGCTAACGAAGTTTTACTCGGAAAAGTAACCATTTCTTTGCACTCTTGACTTAAATTTTAATAATACCAAAAATACTGTTCATGACTTATATCTGTTGCTTGAACAACATGTTATTTCACCATATAATCCATTTTAGATAAGAAAAGACTGGCGAGTTGCTATGTTGTGTCATTTCCTTCTTGCAATATTTCCTAAACTCTGCAACATGTATGGCTTTAGTTGCACATATAAAATTTAGAATTAGAACACAAAGATATTGGAAAATTTTCTATTATAAAAATGTATTTCTTTACCTTTTCTAATGAATCAATGGAATCACTTGTGTGTTTGATTATGATTCTATTGAACAGGCTTTAAAGCAGTTACCTAGAGAAAAGGTTCAGGTAGCGACGAAATTTGGCATTGCAGGATCATTTCCTAATATACATGTCAAAGGATCACCAGAGTACGTGCGGTCGTGTTGTGAAGCTAGCTTGAAACGTCTTGACGTTGAATATATTGATCTCTATTATCAGCACAGGGTGGACCAAACAGTACCCATAGAGGAAACAGTTAGGGATTCCTTCTTCTAATACATCTTTAAATGCCTTAAAACTTCTTATATACTTGTTACTTTTTAGTGCATAATCTGTCATCATTTGGTTCATCTCACTAGATACATATTATTAATGTTGGTTGAATTGTAGGTTGGTGAACTAAAAAAACTGGTGGAAGAGGGGAAAGTGAAGTATATAGGGTTATCTGAACCAAGTCCAGATACAATAAGAAGAGCACATGCGATTCATCCCATCACTGCTCTACAAATAGAGTGGTCCCTTTGGACTCGTGACATTGAGGACGAGTTAGTTCCTCTTTGCAGGTTAGTTCAAGTTCCTCTCCAAGTTCATAGGAATGTACAGCTCTCATAATTGTTTCTTCACTAAAATAAATAAATTGATCATCTCTTTAATTATGAGCTACGTGAAAAAATAAAAATGAGAAAAATGATTTGCTAGCTTTGTATTTATGTTATAATGAAGTCACTTTGTTAAAGCTTTTATTGATACAGGGAGCTTGGCATTGGAATTGTACCATACAGTCCTCTTGGTCGAGGCTTTTTTGGTGGCAAAGGAGTTCTGGAAAACATGCCTGCAAGTAGCGGCCTGGTACAATATTTTAGCCTGCACGAAATTTTTACGTAAATAATATTTTTTAAAAGAAAAATTACAAAAATGACACTTGTGAAAGTTTATTTACAGGAGTAGACCTGTTTACTGTTCATGCTCGGAATTCGGTTTCCCGGGAACCGAATTCTGAGTTAGTTTAATTTTTTTTTTTTCGTGTCTGTGGTCCATTTTGGGCAAATGCTGGAAGTGGAACGGCCCGTTCCGGAAGCAGAACGGGCCGTTCTGCGTAAAGATACAGGGTTTTTTTTTGAATCTGGAACGGCCCTGCAACGGCCCGTTCCAAAACCAGAACGGCCCGTTCTTAACCCGTTTTAATTAAAAAAAAGACTCTGTTTCTTTAAGCAGAACGGCCCGTTCTGCTTCTGGAACGAGCCGTTTCACTTCCAGCATTTGCCCAAAATGGGCTACAAACACGAAAAAAAAAAAAAATTTAAACTAACTCAGAATTCGGTTAAAAAAAAAAAAAGTTTGAAGCTCAGAATTCGGTTCCCGGGGAACCGAATTCCGAGCATGAACAGTAAACAGGTCTACTCCTGTAAATAAACTTGCACACGTGTCATTTTTGTAATTTTAAAAAAAAAATATTATTTAAGTAAAAATTTCCACTTGTGTGTTTTTGCTTCATATTGTAGAATTTTCCCCCCTCCCCCATTTTTAGATGTGAAAATTTAGCAGATAATAACAATTGGTTACTCGTCAGACTGCACATCATCCCCGCTTCAGAGCAGAGAACATAGGCAAGAACAAGAGCATATATGACCGAGTAGAAAGCCTTGCTAAGAAACACCAGTGCACTCCTCCCCAATTGGCATTAGCATGGGTACTCCACCAAGGCAACGACGTTGTTCCTATTCCTGGTGAGTGACTATTGACAATATATCTTTTCCTTTTTTAAAATATGAAGTGATAAAATATCTTAACTTTCTGTAACTGCACTTGTGCACTAGTCAAATTAAGAGAAGAAAAAGTTCACTTTTCTTCAAGGGTGTGTTGGCAATATAGTTGTGCATTTAGTGTGTTTTTCTTTGTGACCTGTTAATATGTGCTTATAGACATTAGAAGACTTGTCTTTACCATTACTTTTCCCAGTTGAAAGGTGTGTTATATTGTATAGGTGCTAGAGAAAAAAGTTGACCATTTACTAGAATTAGCTTGCATACTAGCCAAATACGACAATCCAAGAATGATTGTGTAATGTGTATTAAGGTCACTTGTTGAAGCTTCTCAATAAAGTTCAATGAATGAACTTATAGTCATTTTAGACATATTTCAACTTTGGTATTGTCTTCTCAAGTGGTTATATTCATAGAGTTCAATCAGAGGAAGTTTTGTTGAAAATAGCAGGGTTGATTTTCTTGTTCTATATGCAATTTTCTTAAAGTATTTAAAGTTGAGGATTTTATCTTTTACCATGTCAATTGTCATTTGTGAGCATTAAGAAGTATATCCATAAAGTGTATAGTATTTAGGAAGTTTTAAGGGTTAAGAGAGTAGTTTCTTCTTGTGCACCTAGAGTAAAAGGCATTAATAAATGCTATTTGGTAGTCAGTGTTATGACTTATGAGATATGCACAATTCTTGGTCTTTGGTGAATCTATGGGGTGTCCTAGTTTCAGGATAAGAATTCCAATTTCTATGCTTCTTGTTATTCACTTTCTTAACTATAGAGATGTCTCCAACCAAGGACAAGTTTTTATTTATTTGTTTATCTATCTACCTATATAACATGTAAATGGTTAAACGTCTTTGAGATTGTTTGAATACAAGTTAAAAGTACTTTTAAGAGTTCCTTTATTGAAAATAAAGAGTATTTTTAATATAAAAAAAAAACTCTAAAAAATGTTTATAACTTGTATCTAGATAGATTTTATAACTAAATTATCATAGTTCAAGAGTCAATAATTGATTAATTACTACAATTTTGACTGGACCTTTACAGGAACAACTAAGATTAAAAACCTGGATCAAAACATCGGTGCATTATCATTGAAATTTACAGAAAATGACTTGAGAGAAATTTCCGAGGCAGTTCCCATAGACGAAGTAGCAGGGACTCGACACTTCGCTGGAACTGATAAACAATCTTGGGTATTTGCCAACACACCTCCAAAAGATCCAAGGGTCTGAACTTGAAGCACTCTAAATCCTTTTCAATTGGATAATTCCCTTATTTGTGAAGCGTCACACGATGCAAAAACTAGTACGATAAGCTACCAATGCATTCTGTTGATGTAGCATAATAAGGATATTCAAGTCAACTAGTAAACTTCAATTTCTGATTTTTGTTTTTGGTCCAGCTGTATGCAGTTAAAATATGCATAATAATTCTAGTCAACTATGGACTATTGATGGTTGGTTAATATATATTTGGTTTGGTTGGTTGAAGTTTTAGTTTAAAATGCAGTACAAGCTGATGATTTAAAAAACAATAAGCCCTTTAACTCATGTTTTGGAAACCAAATGTTTTTTTTTTTTAATTTTATTATTATTATTATTATTTCGATGATTTATCCAAACTCTAATGTGCATGACCTTATTTTGGTATAAATTAGTTGGTATCAGAAAGTTAATTTGAGCTGCAACTAATTTGGAGTCGAGTCAAAGGCAATTGAAAAGGAAATTCAATTGGGACCGGATTTATTTTGGTACCAAATAAACTAGCTCCGATAAAATTAGTTTATAAATTTTTTAAATATCTTGTTAAACACACTTTAAAATTTTCAAAAATTTTCAATTATTTGAGTGTTACCTTCATGCAATTATTTCACCACGTTGACGTTTCTTTCAGGTTTGAACATTAATTAGGTTTATAATTTTTATGCAAGTACATATAATATTTCTTCTATTTCACAATCATCATAGTGTTGATATCTGTAAAATGTTCCAGAATGATATTTTAACTCTTTTTATTTATTTAAATTATTAGCATTTGTAATGTTATTTTTTTAATTTATTTCTTTATAAATTATTCAAATGTCATAATTTAAAGTAATATATTTATTGAAAATTGAGTTATTTTAATAAAATTATATATATATATATATATATGTATTAATTATTGTACGTGACCAATGCGTAAAACTTTTATTGTGGGACGAATGAAGTGAAGTGTTTCAGAATTTTATATAATTATATAAATGAATTTAATAAAATAACTTTCACATCTTAAATTAATTATTTTTTAATTATTTCACAAAATTAAAATAATTACTGGTTTTTTTTTAATTGAAAGGTTATAATAAAACTCTACACAATCAATTAAAAATCACAAGAAAACAAAATATGAGTAATATCAGTTCTTACAAACGAAGAAAAGAAAAGTCTAATATTATCAAATATACAAATATTATCTCTTAGAAACAAATTTTAATTGACCATCTTATCAATTACTTGATTCACTTCATGCAACACATTAGACCAAATTAATCATCCATCTGCAAGTTAAAAAAAATAATGTTTTTCCTCAATTGAAAACAAGGATGATAGGAGAAACATCCTTCCTTTAACAAAGTCACTGTAACACTAGAATATAATTCTACTATAAAGTTTCTAAATCCTTTATTCCAAACAATACTTATACCAAAGTCATCCAGGCATAACAAATTAATTTTATCACACCAAGGTGAGGGGGTTCCCACCTCAAAAGCATAGGCTCCACAGCTATTCTATTAATAATGGTTGTCCTCAATATGCAAGCAGCTTGTCCTACAGTTCATATACAAGAATATGAAATTTTATTTCTAGGTTGTGAAACACTATCTTGAAACACAAACTCGTTTCTGTATCTCCAAAATATATCCAATGCCACTGCAAATAATATTAACTAAAAATTCAAGATTATGCGGTCAAATTAATCTTTTAGAAAATTACGTGTTAAAAACATTTATTTAATAAGACGAAATAACTGAAAATGTGTTTTTGGCAAATATTTTAGTTTGGTCAAAATCAAAATGAGAAGGAAGGGAATAAGCATTAGGAAACATCATCAGTGACGAAATTATGGCGCTGCTGATTCTGACACACTGAATGACGAAGCCAATGAATGAGCTCATCGTATCGTATTCCTATATAATGCTTGCAGAGGGGAAGACATGCAATAACTCAATCAATGGCCCAACAGCGGACTCAACTTGGAACCCATGGCTTTGAGGTATAAAACATTCGTCGTTTTATTTACTTGTTCTTATGTCGATACCCAATTTTGTTTTTCTTTATATATAGGTTTCGAAACTGGGATTCGGGTGCATGGGCCTTAGTGGAGCCTACAATGACCCTCTCCCAGAAGAGGATGCCATATCTATTATCAACTATGCATTCAGTAAAGGAATCACCTTTTTTGATACAGCTGATGTTTACGGAGACACTGCTAATGAAGTCTTGCTTGGAAAGGTAACAACATACTGTTCCTTCTACTTGCAGTTGAGATTTTTACCCATGTTTTAAGTAACCGAACGTAATATTTTAGAACATCAATGTTTTTTAACTCGCAACTTTTGGGACAATTTTTTTTATCCCTTTTGATTTCAAGCGGGTGTTTTTCAAATGCATGTATTAGAAAAAGTGATACATAAATATAAATATAATTAAAATGGATTGCAGTATATGAATGCAAAATTCCTCTTATTAATGGCTCGTGGAATCAGTTATTGAGTTTGTCATTATTTGATTCTGTTGACTAGGCTTTGAAGCAGCTACCTAGAGAAAAGATCCAGCTAGCCACAAAATTTGGTATTGCGAGAATAAGTTTTACTGATATGAGGATCAATGGTTCACCTGAATATGTGCGCTCGTGCTGTGAAGCTAGCCTGAAGCGTCTTGATGTTGATTACATTGATCTTTATTATCAGCATAGAGTGGACACCTCTGTACCTATAGAGGAAACAGTTAAGAATTTCTTCCTCTGACAAACCTATCAACGGTTTTGATCATAGTAGACTTGATATAACTATAAAGTTTTACCAATATAGTGATATTATCTGGCCTATCTCACTAGATAGTAGATATATTAATAAGCTTGTTATATTATAGGTGGGTGAACTTAAGAAACTGGTGGAAGAGGGCAAAGTGAGGTATATTGGGTTATCTGAAGCCAGTCCAGATACAATAAGGAGAGCGCATGCAGTTCATCCCATCACAGCTGTGCAAATGGAGTGGTCTCTGTGGACACATGACATTGAAGAAGGGATAGTCCCTCTCTGCAGGTTAGTTCAAGTTCTTGTTCAAGTTCATGGCACTGCAGCTCAAATTGAAAGGAGGGTAAAGAAAATGGTAGAGTTGCTGTTGTTGTTTTTTTGTGTTAATGCGACTTCACTATTTTTTTTAACAATTTTATTGGTACAGAGAGCTTGGTATTGGAATTGTTCCATATAGCCCTCTTGGTCGTGGCTTTTTTGGTGGCAGAGGAGTTGTGGATAATGTGCCTGCAAGTAGCCCCCTGGTATATAACATTTCAGAATTTTAGCATTTACATGTCTCACTGTATTTTTGCTGCATACCATTGAATTGTTAATATGTCACAAACTATCAAATAGCAATGATCAATAATCATTCTTGAATTAAACAAGTCTCACATCTTCTAAAAAAAGAGAAAAAATAACAATTTATAAAATACACTCATACTCCAGTGATAGAGAGGTCTTTTGGGTGATGACCAAAAATAAAATTGTGAGGACTTACACCCAAAGCAGACAATATCTCATCATTTTGGAGTTGTGTATAAAAAATATCCCTCATTATTCAGTTGCAAATGCTTGTGTGTTTAAGCTGAAGTAGTGATGCAGTGGATGCCAATCTTATTTGTTTTTCTCACATAAGAGTACAAAATTATATACTTTCTTTGGGAAAATAATGTATGTGGTTTTCTGATGATTATTTCACTTATCAGAAAGGACATCCACGCTTCCAAGCGGAGAATTTAGACAAGAACAAGAGTATATATGACCGAATTGAAAGCCTTGCCCAGAAGCATCAAGCCACTCCTGCTCAGTTGGCATTAGCATGGGTACTCCACCAAGGCGAGGATGTTGTACCTATCCCTGGTTAGTAGTGACAAAACATCTGATACTTACTAGTCTGAACTAGTATCCTGTATATCAAGAATTTGGTATTTCTTTATTCTTATTATTTGTCAATCTGAGCAAATTATTATGGACAATATATTGTAGTCATGTACTTTGTGCACTGGTAAAATAAGTTAAGAACTTGGTGCAGTATAATGATGCATTCCATGTATTAAAGACTCACGACAGTCTTCTTATGTACTTAGGGTGGTGACTAAATGTCTTCTCAATTAATTAGTGTTCAGAGTGAATTTTAAATCATGCCAGACAAATCTCTAGTTGCCTTATATGTTCAGTTTCATAAAGTTCAATAGGAGGAAGATCTATATTGTTAATTTCTTTGGTTCTTTTGTTCTGCTTCTCAATCATGAAGCACACATCTTCAATATTTATCTATATTTTTGTGCTCAAGTGTATGATTATTTTCCTCAATTACTTTGGAGCTTTACAGGAACAACTAAGATTAAGAACCTGGATCAAAACCTAGGTGCCTTAGCAGTGAAATTGTCAGAAAGGGACCTGAGAGAAATTTCTGAGGCGGTTCCAATTGATGATGTAGCAGGTGGTAGATACTACAATGGACTGGAACACATCTCATGGAAGTTTGCCAACACACCTCCAAAAGATTCGAGGATCTCAATCTGAAGCACATAGAGAATACACTGAGTCGTGAATTGAGGGTAACACGGTTGACAAAGGCTGGTATCAGGGAGCTAATAGGATATCAATAATGTAGCCCATGTCTTGATGAAGGGCTTTCTACATTTATTTGGTTTGTTAAAGTTTTTAGTATAAACCGCAATACTTTTTGTAATGCAACAAACAATAGGTATTTATAAATATTTACGTACTTTTATACACTATTTTCTTTTTGTCACATTTTTTTTATTATATAACACCTGTCACTTAATTTTTTTCCCACAACTTTCAAATTTGGACATTTCAAAAAAAATTTTTTTGTACAATTTAAAACTTTAAACTTATTAGTTGATTATTTAATTTGTATCATTAATTGACTATTGACATAACATATTAATTAATCATATGACATTAATTATTGAATATATTAATGTATTGAATAATGTGGCATATTATGGAATATATTGGATGAATATATTGTGAAAGAAATTTTAAGTCAAACTACCTAATTTAGTCTAGTTGTTTGATTAATGATAAAATTTTTTTATATTAAATATATTTTAGTCTACCTATATTCAAGCCTTTTTTTTTAATTATAGTGAAAATAAAGTTTTTGCAAATTATTTCGATTTCCACTGCCACTACACCCTGGTAATGAGTTTAATCAAAGATAATAAATTATAGAGAGTATTTTACTTTAATATATTTGTTTATATTAAAAAAGTTAATTATTTAATAAGGTGTTAGCACATTGTTAAATGAGTTTAATTTCAGTGCCTGTTTGATTTTGTGTTAAACATATCAGGATATGGATCCATATAAAGTCAATAATACTTGCTTCTCTATTGATTTGATGTAGATTTGTTAGAAAATGTGAATTGTCGATGCAGATGTAAACACGCACTTAATAATAGTGATTTTAAAAATTAGTAATAATGACTAAAAAGTTTGACTGTAATTAATATATATATATATATATATATATATATATATATTTTATTAA